TGCTGTCAATGGCATTTTTTCGGTGGCACATCATTTTCGGGTTATTTGTTGTGATTGTTCGTACACAGTTCAATTTCTTCCTCTCTGTTTCTCCCTCTCTCTCTCTCTCTCGCTCATCCCTTCAACAGTGGACGACATGAATGTCGTCTAGAGATTAAATCAGTACCACAAGCCGCCATTAATGGTCTACGTTTGACAAAGGTGTCGTAATGAATGCTCGCACGTAAATTTGAGGTCGATGTATAAAATGCTCAACGCTATACATGTTCGATTTCATTTTCGAAGACCCTTCATGCTCATCTAATGCGTCTCAACGGCATTTGCGCGCACACGCACAACGGTGTTCAGTGCGGTGTAAAGTTGCGTACTTCGGTAAAAGTGGAAGGTGAGACGAAGGGAGTACAAGAATCTGCATACTAATCAACACGTACGCGAAAATCCATTTTCCAATTTTCATTTCATCACTCAATACCAAAAATCGTACCATTCCCAAAAGTTGAAATCGGTTTTCTGATGGGCGTAAATTTCCATCATAAGAAACATTACTTTCAGAAGTAAGACAGAAATATGGTTTTTGTTTGTAAAATATGGTTTCGCACATGTGTCGATCGGTTTATATATGATATTTTCATATTTTTGCACAGTCAAGCAGTGTGTTTAGGGTGTTTAAATTGTTTGATGTGTTCAGAGTTTAACCACAAATTTGCTGACGATGAGTAGGAGTTTCGCTGAAGATATTCCATTTTAGATATGGATGAAATGCTCTAACATATTGTGGTTTTCATCGAAAGTGAGAGTTCAAATATTGACTTTGATAGCAACCGCATTAGGCTAGCACGTTTCCATGATACCTAATAGATTTTTATTAAATGAATCAATTTCCCGGGCGAAGCCTAAGTGTGATCTCTCGGTGAAGCTCACGCATTTCTTGGCGAAAATCTCCAATTGGCGCTTAATTTAATTAGGATATTTTCGGTGAGATTGAATGCACAAACGAAAGGTGTCGACACATGAAGAATCCAGCGAAATTACTTTTTTCCGGCGCGGTGAGGCTCAAGAGATCGCACAGTTTTTTCTCCTGTTCGTGCTTAAAAGTGGTGCGTGTCTGTTTGAGTTATTATGTATGTAATGTAGCACAAACCAGAGTGCTACGTGAGGCAGTCTGAATTGTGTTTATTTAGGAATAAATATGTTCCAGTTAAATCCGATGGATTGTGACATGAATCCATTGCCGCCACGGTGCTATATAAGTCACATGGAAGCGAAGAAAATCGGTTTACCCGAATATGACGTGCCACTCACTACGTTTCCATTTCATTTTCATTCACAACGACTCACATTTTTTTGTTCTCCCTTTGCTTTTGCGCTCTCTTCCTCGCTTCATTCGCCATCAAATTCTCTTAAAACTTGATTCCTTGTTCAAACAAATACACTTTCCGTGAATAAATACAACACAGTCATGAAAGCCGAAACAATAAGAGAGCCGAAAGCGGCGAATTTTCGGTGAAACGAGCAAAAAGAATTGAATATCTTGCCATTTACATTCATCGTGCATACAAAACTATTTTTGCTGATCTGCTTCTTTTCTTCATTCCCCCGTTCGTGCTTCCTGCTGCCACTGCTTCGTAAACCAGTGCTCATTCATTGCAGACAGTTGAAGAACAACACATCAACATCCGTGATGTTTCGCAAAGAAAAATGGCAACCTCCATTTCTGTCATATGCTCGCACTCAGTCACTTTTTACTCTCTCCCTTTCTCTCTTTCGTTCTCGTGTACACACAGCGCGCAGCGCACAAGCCGCTGACACCATCATCAAATGAAGAATGAAATGATACGAAAATAAAGTTTCTTCGCATTGGGTAAGGCACTGAATATTGAAACTTTTTCCAGGCGAATCGAAAGCGAATAGCGTCGAGTCGTAAGTGAAAAAAGACACACACACACACACACACAGCGAACATGATGAGAAAGAATGAAACGAAGAAAAAATCTCAACAAAGCCGACAGCTGATGGAGATGAACTAGAAAACGACACACGATAAGAATAAATGTTATTTTCTTATACCGTACACATTTTCGTTGGCAAAATGGAATGAAGTCGCGCATTCGAAAAAGTTGAGTAAGTTCAGGTTCAGTAGAATAGGACACCTTTTTATCAATATATAAGTTTCAAGTTCCGTTCTTTGTTTGGTATGTTTGCATTTGCCATTTCAAATTCTCTTCATCCCACTGTTCTATTCGGCTCCTTCGTGTGCACCACTTCTTTTCTCACGTTCTTCAATTTTTTTTCTCTTCATTCTTCATCCCATGAAAAGGAGAGAGCTCCTGTCTTTTGTTTTTGCCTTTTTGAAGTCTTTTTCCGTTGTGATTGCTATTTGCATCTTCATGCGAACGGATTCGATTTCGTTTTTTGATCGGACGGATCGATATACTAGTTTTTAAGCCATTTAGTTCGATACTTGGATCGTAATCTGGCAGATGAATCGGAATGGATGTTGTCAGTTTGCAGTTTTGTTTGACTTAAAGTCATTTAAAAGCAAATCGATAGCTTCTTCCATTCTCGCTCCATTTTCCCATCACATCCTCTAGAGCGGTAGCAATGGCATCAAAGACATATTACATGGCTTCGAAATTGGAATGAGAAAATAATGTGATTTTAGCACGAATAAACGAGACATCAAGGAATCAGGTCGACGTCATTATTACGACGGATGGATTCTACATGGTTTGAAATACGTACACACTCATGTCATGTCATTTTGCCCCCTTCAGCATCACAAATTGAGTTTAGATAAAGACAAGAGGTGAAAAAAACAAGCTTTGATGTTGTCCTGGTTTACAGTTTAGCCAAAACCGATATCGTTTTTCCATTGAAATAGATTTATTCACAAAAAATGCGTTCTTTTGTCGGTTTGCGGATAAGCTTACATGGAATTGTGTTACTGTTGCCAAATGAACAAATCAAAATGGCTTTTGTAATTTTCGTTCGTCGTCGTATGTTATGACAATGTTGTAATGAAATCGATTTCTCATTACATTTGTCAAATCTGAATCAACATTTTCTCCTTCCATCATCACAACGTTTCTGATTTTCGGCTTAGAAACAGTCGGGGATTCTGTCACCGTGCCAAGTATTGTTCACATAAATGTTGTCGTTGAACTGTTTGGTTATTGATTTTGAGTCTGGTCCGATTGTGATATCTATATATATCGATAAAAACGATTACAATCGAGACGTGATGTTTGCAGTTGACATCATCATGGGTACAACGCCAAATTGCTTGAATAATCGATAGCATATGGAAAAAAATGTCAATGAACAAGCAGAAAAAAAGGGAGGGAAACCGAGACAGAAAAAAAGTGTTTGGTTGAATTGTGTAAATGTGCAGTATATCGATGTGTAGTATTCAATTAGCGATCGTTATCAATGTATCGGTTGGAAATGGACATTCCCACTTAATCCAGTGCAAAGCTTCCACTCAGCAACTGGTTAAAGCCATATATGAATGGTTTGGAGCGAAATTGTAATACAGAAAAGTTAAGCGGAAAAATGTCAAATGAAAAGGAACAGCTATATAGTTCACTATAGTTTACTATACAGTTTACTATATAGCTATCCCTTTTCCGCTCATTCATCATCGACATTTTTCCGCTTAACTTTTCTGTATTACATTTTCGCTCCAAACCATTCATATAATACCAATATCGGGGTGCTATAACAATGAGCAATGAGCATTCCATCCAATCGAAAAGTTTGATTGAGATTAGTGCGGGTGGCCCTCGTTGGATTGTGCTGATATGCAGAAAACGGACTGGCACCGTGCGTATGTTGGGTCAACGATTGCCAATCTCACGATTGTTGTGTAGCAATTTGAATGTAATCACAAAACCATGGGAATCGAGCACTTTAGAAAATATTGGTTTTCAATATATCGCCCACTCACTCAAAATATTTGTATTAAGTAAATGGACAAATCACCGAGAGAAAGAGAGAGGAAAAGAGGGAGAGAAATATTATGTGTACATTTTTTCAAGCACCTACAAGCGATATTCACACCAAATTATGTTTTTTCGAGGTGGGGTGTGTTATTGAAAAACTTGAGAATTGGTATGGAGATAAATTTTATCGGCAGGGGCCGTCATTTAATTGCCAAAATCGATCGGGTAGCGATAAAGAGATAAAGAATATATTCAGACGTTTCAAAGTTGGTGTGCTCTTGAATTACAAATGAAAGAAGAGAAAAATTGGCCGCAGAAGGAAATTGAATTTCTACTTTAGAATTTCGTCGACCCAACGATTTCCGTTCTCTGTTGTTCATTGTGTGGCGAAAACGCGTTCGGACTGCTCAATTTTTGATTTTTCTCGATTGGCATTTTCATAAAGAAGTAAAGAAGGACCGAAGATGTTTAGAGTGTTGAATAAGTAGCATGGAAGAGGCTCTTCAATTTCAATCCACCGTCCGAAACAAATTTGTCCAAACATTTTTTCACGTTTCATATTGAGATTTTTTTTCTGTACTATTGGAAATATGTTGAGTAGCCACGTAGGTGGTTTTTATGTTGTTCAATTTTTCTGAAATCCGCTCTCATCCCATGATCAAAAGCATTTCCACCCCAGTTATTATACAAATTCTTCGCCCTCATCGAACGCCCATAATGTAAATATGTTGATTCCAATGTAATTTTCACACCGACACCAAATATTCCATTTCTATTCATATGACATTATACCCATCGAATTTATCCCAAGCTAATTTACTATATCTGCGCCTTTTTTTTGCTCTATGATGATATAAGCAAATGATACAGTCATTTTCTTTTCTTTCGTTTTTTATAACAGGATGGAACAAATGACACTACTGATGCTGATCGGGTGTAGATATTGAATGACAATGAGATTTTTTCCTCACGATAAATGCGAAATTCAATTCAGTTCACTTTAATTTTATTCATCTCAATTCTAATACGTAAAATCTCATACATCTTTACGCTACTTACCTTGAATAGGATGGTTATCGTTTGACGTCAGTTTCGTTTTCGAGTGTCTATTCACTTGGGAGTATAATCGAATCGTTTGTATGCTGGCCCATTAAAAAAGTGGCGCACCCTTTCTTCCCGGCCGATGATTAGGCAGTGTGAAAATCTGAAAGAAAATAAACGGAAAAATTATTGAATTTGCGACAAACAAAGGGGATGCAACGAAAAACTGAATAAATATCATTCAAATTGAAATGCTCAAACAAGCGGAAACTAGTACGCTTGTTCCACACAGGAAAACATTATGACACCATAACTTTTGAGCTTCTTTTCCAGGTATTGTATATAAAAGAGAAAAAGCGCATTGAAATATTCGTGCGAGATATTCCACTCGTGACATAAATTCAAATGAAGTTTTTATGAAGGTAGTTAACGAACTTTTTCCTTTGAGGAGACGCCATGGCATCGGAATGAAAATAAATATTAAATTCCCAGAATGACCTTGAGCATTTCAGGATCAAAAAGGTATAGTGGCATCAAGATTCCTTTGAATAAAAATACTTCGCATGTTTTTAAGGCTTGGGTTGTTGAGAGAGAGAGAGAGAGAGAGAGAAAGAGAGCGTATTACACGAAGTGCCATTAGCAATGTTTTGGCTTTGGCAAAGACGTAGCGCTTCATTTTCACGAATCATCGAACTGTGCTGTGTTCGCCAAAGCCAGGCTACGCTCGATGAATCACTCGCATTTCATGCAATATAAATGAGTGGTCGAAATGCTCGGCGGAATTGAATTTCACTCATCTAACTGCGGCAAGTTATCAACATGGTATTTACTTGTCTCTGTCTATTTTTTTATGAATGTTATAATGCCAATTCGATAACTTTTCTAGTTTGTTGAATGAAATTGCGTTTTGTGTGGGCCAAATGATGCTAAACGATGTATAGACGATATACTTTTAATGTGCATGGCTGAATAAATACATGTTGTTGCCTGTTCGGATTGATTTATCTTCATAGAAATGTATAGGCGAACCACTGGACCATTGTTTGTACGGAAAAAATCGCCAATTTAGCCATTTCATCTGCTGATTTTCGAACAGCGAATTCACCATTGTTTCATCAGTTTATCGTTTTTTCTTTGCTTTTCAGTCCATCCATTTGATTACCGACTACAAAACTGCGTAGTTTGGCTACTGTTTTGATTTACACCTATCGAATATAGATTGTGTGTGTGCGCCTGTGCCTGTGTCTGTGAATGGAAGTCGTGTGCAAAGATAATTTCAACCACATTGATCTGATCGAATGATTCGTTTGGGCACACGCACCCACGTTCTCGCATACAATTCCTTGTTACTTCACCTCATCCGATTATTTATTGGGAATGGTATTGTTTCTATATCCCGTCCAATTCGAAGCTTCTACTAGCGATAAATTTATATATGACTCATACCCTTTTTGGTCAAACGGGCGTCCATTTTTTTTCGTCTTCCTCTTTCTTCTCTGCTATTTTATTGGCATTATCAAATGATTTGATGCGAGTTCACACGTAATTTATGATTTATTTGATTTTTTTCGTTCTCTCCATCTCAAAAATATACGATAAAAATTCACTACACGTGCCCATTTTATTTCTTCTCCAAATAATGATATCGGTCAGTTTTCTAGTGATCGCTTGAATTTTACAGTTTTTTTTTCACTCGGTCTCGGATATTTAGTACAGTTACATCATTAAATTGTATTCCGTTGACTAAGTGTAACTTTTTGAAATAAAACAGAGCAATAATAAAATCCATAGTAGTGGTTGTGGTTTCTTATTGAAAAATAGAAGATGAAAAAAAAGACGAAGGGAAAAACTTCGGAACGACGCTTGAAATGCTTAAACCATAACCATTAAATGAACACTTTAAATCGATTATGGGCAATAGAATTCCATTTGCTTCAATTCAATATTGCACTAGCCACATAAAAAATGGATTTACTCTGTTGCGTCTTGTTTAAGAAGTGTTTTTTCTTTCGCTTTCTGTCTCTCACTCTCTTTTTCAACTTCTTCTTCTTCCCATGGAAACTTTTAAACAAATCGAAATAATATACAGAGAGTCTCATGCCAAATGCTCATAAAAAAAAATCCCATTTCAAACCACATTCAATTGATACATTTACGATGTTTATTTCATTTTATCCCATTTTTTCTCTCCAAACATCACAGCAATTGAGAGTGACACACAAATACACATCTCATGTTGTGTTCTGTTTATATGCAAGACGTTTAGTTGTTTTTTTTTCTTTCGTGGAATAAATAAGAACGAATGATGTACATTGTAACGATCGATGAAAAATACTCGTAAGATTTATGGTTTTGCTTTTGCACAGCGAAGAAAGCACATCGATTTATTTTCGATAAACCAATAAATAATTTTTCAAAATTGACGATTATTTCATTTGGATAATGGACATTATGATATTTCCGTCGGTTTGTGTCAATTTTGTAGGAAAGAAAATCTGTTTTGTATGCTAAATGAATCGTGATCGATTTTAAAAGTGGGTTCCTTAAGTACGAGTGTAGGTTCAATGACAAGTGTAGGAAATACGTGTATACAAATACATAATTAGCCTAATTTCAATGTAGATTGATTTTCAATCTGCATATCATTACAAGAGCGTGCGCAAGGGGGAAAGTACTAGATTTGTATAATTCAAGTAATGGGATCTAGTACAAAAATCATCCCAAATAATCCTTCGGAATTCTCCATAATTCTCAATAATGCTCAATATTGCTATGCATAATACCAACTATGCATAATACCAACTATGCATAATACCAATAATAGCTAAATATAACCGTATTTCACTTTTGCTTATTGGCATTATGCATAGTTGGTATTATGCATAGCATACTACAAATCTAGTACTTTCCCCCTTGGCCGTGCGTGGTAAACTACGCTTTACTTCTTCATTTGTCATAGGGCTTATGGCTTGTTTTCTTTTTAAATAATAACGGTGACCTTTTCTTTGAGCTTTATTGTCAACAAAAATAGATTTTCGTGTGGTAAAAACGCGTGATTTATCAACTTATATTCCTGGAATTTTATCAATTAGGAACTATGTATTATGATAGGTTTACGATCAACATTTCTAAATGGCAATAATTAGAAATCGATTATCTTGTTTCTGATTATGATTTATGGGCGCTAAAAGCAAAATTCCATGAATGTTTTGCTTAATACATATTGAGGCCATTATCTCTATACATATCTGCATTGGTTAATCGTAAATCGTGCGTATGTTCAATAGAACCCCATTAGATTGTCGACCCATTAAATCGAAAATGAAATCTCGTTATCTGTCAACAGGTCAATCAAATTGATTTAAAATCAATCACATTGCTACGTCTTAGATGATCGTTATTGCTGATTACAATCAGTTACTGATTCGTTATCTTGTTTGCTCGTGAAATAATTGAAAGTTTTTAGCCACGAACCACTTGTGTCATTGCGTGCAAATATTTACCAGTGTTTTGGATAAATAGCTCTTCATTCATTAGTGGCACTCGATACAGAAGGTTGTTAACTCAGAAAATTGTGTGTTAAAAAAAAGACAAATTGTGTGATACGATTTATATTCATTTTCCTCACCGATGACATTGTCAAAACTAATTCTTCTCTGGATCTGCACCGTATCAATGGCTAAATGTTCCGTCGCACGTTTCATTCATGCAAAGGCGAATGTGGCAGCTCCGTCGCATAAGTTCTTATTCGCTGCATCCATAACGTCTGCATCGGAGCATATTTGCAGCGGTATTATCTTGAACAAGCGATGGGTAATAAGTTCAGCGCTGTGCGTGAGCCAAAACACAGTATCAACACTTCACGTACGCTACGGTTCTCACAACCGTACTTACAATGAAATAGTGAACGAAGACATCGAGAAAATCATTGTACATCCGCATTTCAAACAAAAGATGCTAGCAAACAATCTTGCATTGATAAAAGTCAGCAATGACATTCGATTCATTCCGACCGTTGTTCAAGCAGCCACTTTGCCGACGAAAAAACCAGCCGAAAATGACATGGTTGACGCCGTTGGATGGGAGAAAATCGATGAAACGGTTCGTTATATAAAAAGGAAAATGCAAGAAAACATAATTTTCTCATAAAATTTGTCGTTTGTTTTTTCAAACCGCAGAACCAATCGGACACGCCCGAAATACTGAAATACCACCAGACTAAAGTGACAGGGCTGGACACATGCTCCATAAATCTGTCACATCTATACGATGTCGATATCGATACACAATTTCTATGCACAAACACAACAATCGAAGATACTTTTCCGGAGCTGGACAATGGCAGTGCGCTTATTTCAGCAGAAAAAAATGAATTGATCGGCATAGCATCGTGGTACGACGAAGAGTTTCCAAATGTTTATGTTCGAATTCGAACTTATTTACCGTGGATCAGATCGGTCGTTATTGAATAAATAATACAGTTAAGCAAAAAATATCGAAAATAAACAGCATTTATAGATATGTATAAATAATTCCTTTGAAGGAATTTTTTCGTTCTGTTTTGTTTTTTTTGTTTTCAAGAAATACTTCTATGGTTTTTATGTTTGCTAAGCAGTTCATGTGTTTATTTGCTTTAAAATTCATAGTTTGTTTGTTCGCGTTGATTCTTGGTCGAGTGTTGATAAGAGTTCTAGAAAAAAGGCAATGACTCTTATCTCTGTAAATTAAACGCACTCATGTGAAGTGGCGGTATGAGTAATTTCTGTTTGTTGACTCAGACATCTGTGTGTGACTAATCAAAAGCAGTTTGTGTATATAAGGAATTTCATCGTAAGTCGTAAAATAAATGTTAGAGAGAGAAAGAGAGAGAGAGAGAGAGAGAGAGAGCGCAAAGTATATCCATCAAAAAGTTCTTTAGATTTCGTTCAAATATCGAATAAATTTGCTGGAAAATGAGCATCAAATTCGACGATAATTTCCGTGTCTCGGTCATTTTTCCGAGGGAATTTCATTTCGAAACGGATTATGATATATTATGTAGTGCTAAATGAATGAATGTAATAAAATCAAAGTCAATCATTAAAGCCATACGATGTCATTACACGCTTTAACAAGAATTTTAATCGCAAACATGCATGATGCTGTGTAAAACATGTGCAATATATGTTTGAATGCTTGAGCCGAGTATGCTTAATTCGTTGGTATTCCGGTGAAAATTGAAGCGTAAAGAGAAATTCTCCTATTGCAATGGCGTTCATTATTTAATTGGGTGCCGTATCCATTTGGTTTATGTACCAAAATATTTCAGCTGAATGAGATGTTGGACACATATTTTTTTCTCTCAATTGAAACGATAAAAATGAGCATTTTTTCCCCGTCTACTTCTTTCGTCAGTACACGAATGTATGCACAGTTCGTTAATTTTCTTTTATTTTTTATTTTTTATGATTTTATATGTTGAGGTTCTTGTGGCCAAATATAAAAATTCATCATATACTCAGCCAATATTCATAAAAACGCGTCAGCGAACACACGCGGTCATTCGTTCGCCCAATTGCTCAAACACACTCTCTCCCGATCGTCTTACTGCAAGCATCGAAGCATGTATTACATTTACCCAGCTCAAATAATTCCGAATTCATTTCATTTCATTTTTGGTTTTTATTATTGCCGCTTTTTCGTACGTGTTTCATATGATATTTTATGTTGACTTGGTCGGTTTTAGTTCGGCAAAGGACACCACCAATGCCAATGACGAATGTGTGCACATAAATTGTGCTGCTGTTGTGCTATTTGGTGGTGGTGGTGATGGTGGATTGTACCGCACAGCAAACAAAATGTGAGCAACAAACCGACCCCATGGATAACGTTCGAAAAACAGCGGATCAAACGAAGTAAATTTCAAAGACTAAATGGGCGAAAATGTAGTGAAATTCACAACCTAACTGATGATTGTTCTTACATGTGGTGAACATTTATATGCCAAATATGAAAGATTTATGCGAGAATTCCTCCACTTTGTTTGGAAGTAAGACGAATAGTTCTTCGTGCAAAATGTATTGGAAAGAGTTGGCAGGCGAGCGAGCGGGTGAGACAGAGAAAAAGAGAGAAAGAGAGTGAATGATTCGTGTAATGGCAATTCGAACGTTTGATGTGGCGTGTATTTGTCTAATTACTTGAAACCACAAATATATGTATCCAGTAGCCGAAAACAGCAAATTTGTCGACGATTGTGTACAATTTTCGCTTCATGATTTGAACCATTCACATATGCATAATTTATATGGGAACAGCGTTACATTTGATAATGATTTATTTACATTTGACTAATTAGAAATGTCAAAACATGGGTATTCTCTCTCTCTCCTTCCCTTTCTCAGATTTTTGACATTAAATCAAATCAAGTGTTGAGCCTCGATCAATTCCGAATTGGTGGCAAGAGTTACTTTTTTTTCGTTGCACCGCAATCAATCCGTGTTTTAACGTCGTTTCCGAAAGACGTGTTGCATTTTATTTCAGCAATTTTTTTCCTCCACAGAACCATATATTTAATGCTCTAATTTCATCGTCGATTGCCATTCGTGTGGTTTCCACATTCCGTTCAAGCGGATTTTTTTTCCTTACATTCGTATTTCAATTGCAACTATATAATCAAACGCAATTAACACCAATTTTACGATATTTCTAGGCAATCTTCGTCTGTTTCCAGTGAGCTGCACAGAGGAATATATAGCCAGTTAACCCGAGTATTTAACCCCCTCTTCCGGTTGGCACTGACAAAGACATGATTCGTGACTAGATTAAATTATCAAAAGGCAAGCGCTTATCGGAGCTCTTTTTTTTCGCTTTGATTCGCCTGCTAATAGCCCGACTTAATATTAAAGGATGGCAATTACAGACCACGAACGCTTCGTATACACTCCGAAACTCCAAAAGCGGAACACACAAACCAAAGGATACAAGCGCTAACGCTCTCGCTTCACTCGTTGTGTGTTTGTATACGAACGATAGTGGTGGTGGTGGCCGCCGGGTGAAATTCATGGTTGGTGTAGTTTAGCTGGTCAAAGCAATAAAACAATAAAAGCGATCCACCAAGTCGGTTGGTCGGAAACAAAAAGATTCGTTGATAATAGCATTTGCCAATGGTTTTCAAACGCAATAGAAATCACCATTGCGTTCTGCTATCACACACATACACAGCATATCCGAACACATACACACACATGCCAATTCTCTCGATGAATGGTCGCGCGGAAGCCACAGAAATATTGGAATGGATTTTGTGATACAAATGGTCCAATGTACTACAGAAATGTACACAGATGCAATGAATATTGGATTTAGGGAAATGTAATTGAATAAATGGCCAGATTAAAATGCCATCGATTTCATTTGGGCGTGTGCATTTTAGCAAACAAATAATGTTCCAGCGTTTGCATGCTCTGAATTAACTAGATGGTATTGGATTTGAACGCGCGCGTCAGATGATTGTTTTTGTTGTTTGATCGGTGCTGATTTCATCTGATTTGGGGAAAAATCTGCCGCAAGCATTGTGCAAACCACAAATCGAACCATTTGATACAAATGAATAGTGACGGGCTGCGCCAAATCCAATAAAAAGATCGGTGTAGATATGCATATAGCATGTGAATTATTGACTAGTAACAAACCGGCCACTGGCACTATTCTTTTGGAAGCGGCGGCGACTGAGTGATTGAAACCTTAACACAAACATTGTAATGTCGAATAAATTGTCCCAATGGAATAAATGATGCGCTGAGCGCACTGCCTCCATCATATAAATAAATATTTACATGTTCGGATGTGATTGAAGGTCTTGCGAATATATACACGATATGCATACATTGCTTGGGCTACTTAATACATGTATCGTCGATCATATTTTATTTATTAAGATAGCATTTTTGCCCGGTTGTTTGTGGTAGCCTTCTGCTACGACTGGTACTGGTTTTGTGTGTACGAGTGTCGTTAATCCACTTGCATGTTTCGCTTCCCAGAAGAGAGCGACAGGGAGAGAAGAAGGGAAAGAAAGAGCCGGTTCACGAGCGAGTAAGTGTTCGAGTTGAGTAAGTGTTGTGTGTTTGAGCGAGCATTTGTTGCCACTTTTCAAAGGGAATCAGCCACTTTATCATTCCGCTTTTTTTTTCCTGTTAATCCGAAATATCCATTTATTATGGGCATAATGCACAGTATTAGATGCCTGTAGCAGCCATACAATCGCTAATAAGAGCGACGCGAAAAAAAAACTCATACAACGACATCGAAGAGGTTGTGAACGAGCGAGACGCACAAGAAACATAATAACCCTAATTCTTTGTGTGACCTAAGCTCTTGAGTGTATGTTATTTCGGCCTCGTTGTATGTATGCTCGTTTGTGTGTGAGTATGTGTGTGTCCGGCAAAGGATTCCATCCATTTGCTTCAGCTCATAAAAACCAACCAAGGCATTAGAAGAAGAAAAAACATTGTACACACATCATATTTCTTTTCCAAGTTCCGTTGTTATGATAAATCAGAAGCCATTTGTCATATGAACCCAGATCCATGTACACAACCGTAGTCATCAGACAGTAGAACCAACACGAGAAAGCATCATAAGTGTGGCTTGAGTTTTTCCCCGCTCAATTTGAGGTACAAAATAAGCATAAACAAGTGAATTTAATCAACAAACGAACGAACGAGGCAGAGAAAATAATATAAATGTAATCTGATAAAAATGACAGATAGACCAATGATACGCATCACTATCTCGCTTTTAAGTTCATTACATCAATTTTGCGAGAGCCATAAAATGATTAAGAGACAATTTCTCAAACCATTTGTCCCCGGCATAATCCAAGCGTTTTTCAGATTATCATATCTTTTTTTTAAAGCGATATCTAATCATCTTCTGCTGCTTTTGCTGCACGTTTCATTCCAATCCTTCAAAATACCCCTGATATTTGTAAATCATATTTCGACAGCTCCATAAATTGGATTTGAATATCAGTGACGCTCACACACACCCCCCGAACATGAAAAAGGTGAAGAGATGCCAACAGTTGCATGCGCATTGAATAAATGAATATGAAGTGAAATAACGATTAGGAGTAATTATTCATTCAAAATGAAAATGGATATGGTTCTGCTTGCTTTGCATCTCATGCGCGTGCGAGCGAGCAGTTCGGTGTATGCGAGAGAACGAGAGACAGCAAAGAATATCATTTGCATGAAATTTGCATTTGTAATTATGCAGTGTGCGCGTGATGGCGGCGTCACGTTTGATAGCCGCTGCAAGATTTTCGTATCTATTATAACAAACGAAGGCAAGCTGTCTTCATTTGATAGCCTGTCATAACAACAGCATCAGCCACTTAATTGAAATGTGTGCGGCATGAATGGAGTGAATCACGAAGATGAAGAACCAAAAAAAAAAGAAAATCCACGCGGATCGCAAAAATTGGCTCAAAATGAAATTATTAATATTCATCGGATGCAAATTCCAATTTTTGACTGTCACGCAT